TTTTTGATAAAGATGTCAATTTACATATGCAGTATAACAATTATTAATAAAGTGAAAATAGTTAAAGGGTGCCACATGTGGAGCAGGATCTGCTTTCCCTTCCGGAGCACCTGAGATCAACCCCAGTTTTTGGTGGGGTTCGTGTTGCTTAGTCTTTATTGTTTTCTATGTTGTGTTTTGTGTACTATTGTTTGTGTTTGTCTTTTTCTTTTTTAACCATGGCGTTGTCAGTTTATGTTCGATTTATGAGTTTGAATGTCCCTCTGGTATCTCTCGCCCCTCTTTTAAAGTTATTTCTTCTTTTTTTTTGTGTCTTTTTCACACCATGTCCAAACCGGATGCTGTATCTAACGAGCTAAATCCTTGCTGAGACGTATAATACTTCTAATAAAAGTATTACATGTTTCTGTTTTAATGTACAAATCATGTTTGAAATTAAATTCAGTTACTTTCTCATCATGCAGAAATTATGCTGGGAATTGCAATAAATGTTTATATATATAAATCTGCTGTTAACGGGATATCGTAAAGTAGGTTAAAGGTTTTTTGACTTCGTCCCCTTTCACAGGTAACACCTGCCTCATATTATCTGAAAACCATTGCAACACGTAAATACTTTTTTCGTTTTACACAGATTCAAATGTAGAAGATTAATCTTAAAATAAGACAGTTTCTTAAGATAAAGAACAGACAAGCTTAAGATAGTGAAAGAGGAAAAAAAAAAGAAAAGTACAGAATAAGATACAGTAGCACAACATACAACAGAGAAAACTAAAGCAAAGAACCAGGAACTCCACTTGAACCAAATTAGGGTGATTTCAAATTCTCGGAAAACGTAAGTAATTCTTGCGCATGGCAAGCGAAAGTCGCATTTGTTGAGGTAAGATACTTGAAGGCAAAAGTAGTTTGCTGATGCTTAAATCACATAAATCGACCAAAATGAAGCAAATCAAGATAACAAACAAGAACCGAGGGAATTGCACGAACTCCAAAAGGAGAGAGGTTCGGTGCATCGACTGGGTAAGCCTGTCATGATATGCACGAATCTCCCGCCGTGCGAATCCACACTCAGTAAAAATTTTGTAATCGGAAATAGGACACAACCGGTAAAATTACAAACCAGACAACTGTTATGGTATAAAAAGAGGAAAGGAGGACGGGATTATGACTACGACAAATAAAATTTCCCCGGCGAAATATGTGACATAGATATTCCAAACGGTAAAAAAAACTTTCAAAAGAAATTTCATCTTTTACCATTGATACCCTATGTGAGTGTGAAGAAGACGAAACGAGAGTATTTTTATTGTTTAAAAATATACAGCATGCGTATAATGGTACTGTTAGGAGAAAAATGTTTATCTAATGTTGCACATTGCTAAGTTCCATTTTCATTGGACTGTAAATAGTGTTAAGTAATAGGACAAATTAAAAAAAACATCATTTATGTTTTTTTTTATATTTCGGACAGGTTGGTTATTTTTTCTTATTCCTTTTGGTATTGAGAAAATAATATGATAGGTTTTCAAAATTTATTTTTGGTATTGAGAAAATAATATGATAGGTTTTCAAAATTTATTTAACCATACATAGAGAGTGTTTTTTACTTCAGATTTTCTGTATTTGGTGGAGATTGAGTGTCTAATGAACTAAAACATGCATGCTTTAATTTTAGTGGAAAACTACAAGAGGAAAATAAAGTAGTTCAAGACTAGTGACAAGGGAAGAGGAGGAAAACTAAAAACAATTAAAGTTAGAAAGTCATAGTTTAAAACAAAGGAAGGATATTTCAGTAAAGCAATAAGACTTATTGACAAGAATCTTGCAATACATGTATACGAGTTGACTTATCAATTTGATAAAAAAAAAAAAAGAAGATGCATGGTGTAAACGTCATTTATAATTCAACCCAATAACACAAAAATACTAAAAAAAAAGTGTCTATGTCAAGCTTTGACTAAATTGCCTCATTACACAAGTTTAAAAACAAGTAGTAAATAACCCATAAAATGACTGTCCATTTACAATATACGCGAATATTTCTTACCATAAGTTACATTGTAACATAAAACGCATGGACATATTTATCAAATTGCGTATATTTCAAATGCTTTTAAACTCGAGGCAAATTTGTCTGTTAGTTGTTCGTGCTTTTTCTTTCTTGTGGTCATGGTGTTGTTTGACTAAGAGTTTTGATTTAGTCATTAGTGTATGTCTGCTATTCTATATATGCTTACAAGTCTAATATGTAGAAATACATATACATGTACGTTATAAATAGAACAATGATGGATGTCGCTGATGGTTGTCTGCAATATCCGGAGTGCATCTCACATTCATGACAGGAAGTGCTTTTGTACACACGTGACAACATATCAATACAATCCAAATTTTCAGTTAAAAATAAGCATGTCGATTTCACTAAGTTTTTCTGTTTCCTGATTACATTCTACAGAAACAGATTCAATTCACAGGTAGCAAAACTGTTCAAATTTTAAATGCATCCCTTAAATATTATAGTTAAAATGTATTAACTTTGGTATGTTATAATTAATTTTGTATTCTAAAATATTCAAGAAAAATCTAAAAAAGAAACTAACAGAAAAGGAATTTTGTCCGGATTTGACTTTTCTATTTATATTTTTTGGTTATATCAGCTCTAGATTTTCAACGTTTGTATAAAGTTTCAGATTTTTTAAAAGTTTGTACTAGATAATCACCGAAGAGACATCAATTGTCGAAATGTGCATCTGAAATCTAAAGACTGAGCAACACGAACCTCACCCAAAACTAGTGGTGATATAAGACGCTCTGAACGAGTAAGCAGATCTTTCTCCACAAAATGTAACCATCGTGTAGCTCATGTAAGTAAAAGTTCGGGATAAGTCTCATACAATGATGTCAAAATGTCTGACAACTTCATTTAATCAATAATATGTTAACATGTGGTCATTGTACTATAATGTATTTCTAGCATGGCAATATGAAAAATTATACATTTTTAATAATACTCAAAAAAATAACTGGAATTACAAAAACACATGAGGAGGTACAAAAGACTGCAACGACCATCAACCACTGTCTCCTCCAAGAAAAAACACAAACAAACAAAGACAAACTATTCATAGCTTACTAAGCGGAATGGGGTTTGCTCATTGTTGAAGGCTGTTCGGTGACCTATAGTTCCTAACTGTTATGTCATTCGGTCTCTGGTGGAGAGTTGTCTTATTGGCAATCACATCAAATTTTCTTATTTTCATATACAATGAACAACACATGGTCAAGACAGCTTACAGTTACAATTTACAAAATGTGGCGAGATTTAAAGTCTTATATGTGATTAAACATTCCCCTTTATCTATCTAAAATATATGTCGTCAAAGTCAAAGCAAGACACAGAATAAAAACACACAGTGTGCAGCTGCCAATAGAATATCAACGAAATCTATACAGGAAAGTTCACTGTTAAAGTCGAAAGTGGTGATTCGACTTAATTTACAAGTTTGCTAAATATTGTATATTTTATTACAAAAGTTAATGATACTTTCTTTGATAGTAGTTAAGGAACATGTTAAAAACACTGAAAGATTAGTTGTATAACTCTTACTAGAGGCTGAGATGAAACGATATTTGACTGGTTTTTTGTGTAGTTTATTGATTGATTGATTGATTGATTGATTGATTGGTGTTTAACGCTACTTTCAACACTATTGTGCTATTTCGTGGCGGTCAGTTTTTATTGGTAGAGGAAGCCGTAGTGCCCGGAGAGAACCACCGACCTTCGGTAGGAAAACTAACAATCCTAGTCAATTAAGATTGGAGTCGAAGTTACAACCTCAGTGTTGACTGGCTTGTGATACAGTAGTTAGACTACTTAGACCATTCGGCCACCTAGGCCCCTTGTGTAGTTTAGGTAGCCAAAACACAGTAGGGACCTTTAAATGTTCAGAAGAGGCCTTAAAGGGGCATAAACTGTCAAATTCATGTTCACCGATTTGACTCAAATTCTTTTATTTGATTTATAACATACTGTGATATAGATCAAATTTATTCGTCCAGTGTATGTTCACTTGTTTTTGTTAATATGTCTTTTGATTGAGTTAAGCCATTTCAAATGATATTTTATAGTGTGTCTTTCTATGTTGTGATGTTACACTATTGTTTCAGGTAGGGTGAATGTTGGCGCCTATTAAAACGTTTAAACCCGCCGCATTTGATGTTCAGTGGTTGTCGTTTGTTGATGTGGTTCATAAGTGTTTCTCGTTTCTCGTTTTTTTATAGATTGTTTAAATGGTTTTACACTAGTCATTGTTGGGGCCCTTAACAGCTTGCTGTTCGGAGTGAGCCAAGGCTCCGTGTTGAAGGCCGTATTTTGACCTATAATGGTTTACTTTTACAAATTGTGACTTGTATGGAGAGTTGTCTCATTGGCACTCATACCACATCTTATTATATCTAAAACGTATACCAAAATAATTAAAAGTCTAAAAAAAAATAATGTACGATGCACGGACTCGATAATATATATCAGCATTTCGTGTGTATATTAGTCTACACGCCATCTAATTCACCATTGAGGTGACCTCCGAAGACTGCCGACGGTCATATAACCCGATATAAACATAAACATAGATATAAATAGATAGCGAACTCGTGCAATTGTATTTTTCTAGGTCTGTTTGATTTCATATCATAGGTTTAAAAGATTTGATAACAATTGTCTTAACCTGCTTAAGAATGAGTTTTTGTAGACATTTAGGTAGACACAATCACAATATTAAATTTATAAGATTTCAATGCAGTCATTCTTATTCGAGCTAGTTTTCTTTTTGTAACATATTGAACTACTTCTTTTTCTTTGGCCAAGTTTTGGGTGAAAAACTTTGGTAGTGACAACAGACCACTGTTTATTATATTTGTAGTTTTGAAATTAAAAAAGTATGCCTTTCCATGTAATTGACAAAGACAGTCCTGCAGTTGTCATTGACAACGGATCCGGAATGGTCAAAGCAGGTTTTTCTGGAGATGATGCACCTACAGCAGTTTTTCCCGCCATAACTGGTCGTCCTAGATATCAGGTAAGATGGATATTGAATAAAAGTATATTTCTAAACTTTAGAAAAAAAGATTTGTAATAACAATAACGTTACCAATTTTACTGCACCAGCTGCGCATTCGACAATACATGTCTCTTCAGTGATGACAGAGGCCAAAATATTAGAAAATCTAAAACTTCTTCAAAGATCGAAGAGCTGATAAAATCAAAAACAAAAGGACACAAGTTTGAGCTTTCTAAAAAGCTGTGGACTGCTTCGCTCTAGATTGGCAGAAGTTATAAAATACAGATAATGCATTTTTGTTTACATTGTATAGGAACATTGTTTAGAAAAACAAATCGTGCATATTGCAGATTAACAAAGCAAATAAACACGTATTAATAATTGATATTTCAATATTGAATTTCAGTGTGCAATATATGCATAATAAATTAAACGAACATGAATCAATGACAGTTGATCGGAACTGAAATATACATAGTTAATTTTCCGGCATTTGATGTCTTATCCTGAGACGAGGAAAGTCTGTAATTCTTTATCTTATTTAAGCCAATAGCTGTTGCTGTATCTCAGCCGCATCATAAAGCAACCAATCAGAATCTATATGTGATAAGTAATTATTTCAAGACGGCGTGTATATCGACTGAAACTAATAGCTCCGCACCGTGATGTGAAGCAAAAATGTATAGCAAAGAGTAGGGCAATGGATCAGAGTATTGCTTGAGGGAGAAATATTCTTTGATTTAAAATAATTTCCAAAGTTTGATAACAGCAAATATTGATAATACAATATCCGTATGTTCATGCAAGTACATAAACACTCAGTCTGGCTGCTGTGCTGGTAAATTTGATTAACATTTTTTTTGTCATTTTAGAGAAATTATATATTAGAGAAAATCAATTTACTTGCTCCAAGGATTTATATAGTATTCTTACCATATAAATCCTTGCTTATACAAATGAGGAGATGCATATGGTATGATTGCCAATGATACAACTATCCACCAAAGTTCAATTGAAGTGGATGTAAGCAATTATAGTCAACCGTTCGGCCTTCAACAGTGAGAAAACCCATACTGTATAATCGGCTATAAAAGGCCCCCAACATGAAATTTCAACATTCGAAAGTGAAACTAGGAGTCACTGGGAAGATCCATTTCGTTGACTGATTCTGTAAACAAAAAACCAACTTTTTTATACAAGTTAAACGATGATTAAACATTTTAAACATGTTTTCAATCAATGACATGAATTCAAACAGAACTAGAACAATCGTCGTTATACGATTGCACGTGCTTGTCTGTGTATTTGTGTTCATATGTATGTTCATATCTAATTGTATGATCACCGACAGCCTTCGGAAGTCATCTCGATGGTTAATTAGATAGTATATAGTCTAAAATACATACTTAATTCTGATCTATTATAACAACTACCTGCATTGTATATTATGTCTTTGGGACTTTTTGTAATTTGATTATACGAAATTGAAATGTATACATTAACTTTCATTTACATTTTTTCATGACATGCACTACCACAAGCCATCAAACGTCTTGATCTCGAAGGGCGAGATTTAACCGCCTATTTACAACGTATCCTCCACGCGAGAGGTTATAACTTTGTCACAACAGCTGATAATGAAATTGTCAGAGACATCAAAGAAAAGCTTGGTTTTACGGCTCTTAATTTCGTACAGGAACTTAAAGCATCACCCAAATCATCCTATTTAGAGAAATTCTATGCATTACCGGATGGGACTATGATTAGCGTTGGTAACAAGCGTTTCCAGTGTCCAGAATTAATGTTCAAGCCATCATTAATAGGTAAGAATCACAAATTCCTTTTGTTACAATCACATTCGTATATTGTAATAAAACTACATATGGCGACGACGACGACGATTATAATGAAAGTTTGCAAGTGTGTGTATATATTTATATACATAATATATAATAGCTTGCTGTTCGGTGTGAGCCAAGGCTCCGTGTTGAAGGCCGTACTTTGACCTATAATGGTTTACTTTTACAATTTGTGACTTTGATAAAGAGTTGTCTCATTGGCACCCATACCACATCTTCTTATATCTATATGTCTACACCATATTATACTTTTATTCACACACTGCACAAAATATCTATGTACATTGCCTTCATTGGACTGAATTACCTGCCTCCGCAAAAATAGGTCTAAAAACCGCTCGACCCCGTCCATCCGCACGTCCGTCCGTCCGTCCGAAAGAAAGAAATATTTCGTCATAGTTTTCACGGCTCCTATTGAAGGGATTGATTCAATACTTGGTCTGCAGCTTGATAATTTTGAGTTGTATCGAGTAAGCAATTTATACATCGGGCGTATATTCCACTTCCTATTTGTCGATAGTTCGAAATTTTACTACACTCATTGTACAAGGAAAATTTTCGTCAAAGTTTTCTTAGCTCTTATTAAAGGGAATGATTTGATTCTTTGTCTGCAGCTTGGTGATGTTGAGTTGTAGCGAGTAAGCATTTATCTACATCGGCCGTGTAACTACTTCCTGCTTGTCGATAGATCAAAATTTTACAACACTCATTCTACAAGGAAAATTTTCGTCATAGTTTTCTTTTTTCAGCGAAAAGGGAGGGTTAGCATGCTCCAATATACATGTTACTTTAACCCATTGCATGCAGCGACGCAGGTCCAAAGCCGACATTGGTCTAGTGTACACGGAAATAAGTACTAAGTGAATTGATAATTACTTGCATGTTTCCTAATAGTGAATTTCAACCTTTTATACCATGAAAGGAAAATTCCTTGTTTCTTTCTCTAATATCGCCCACCATTTCAATTTTTCATAATTAGTCATATTTTATAGATATGGAATCTTGTGATGTCCATGAAATGGTTTATAACTCTATAATGATGTCTGAAATTGACAACAGAAGAGATTTCTACAACAACATCGTCCTGTCCGTAGGGTCTACAATGTTTCCTGGTAAGTCATTTTGTTTTGTCAAGATTATTTGTTTTTATGCTTTGAATCGTTTCAATTGGTTTTACTTTTTAAATGTTTGGTCTTGAGGGTACCCGATAAGAGTGGCTGACACAGGGATTGGTCATTTCTCTGATCTAGCTTTTTTTGTAATTTGTTCACACTACCCCTTTTTCCTTCTTTTTTCCATATCCCATCTTTTTTTACAACTTATATCCCACATCCCCACTGTTTTACCATTGAAATCCTACATCCTAAAACCATGTCATTCCTCTTTCGTTCCGCAAAAAAAAATATTTCCAGTTACGTGTATGGGAGACTGCGGAGACTGTTATTCACATGACAGGAAATTTTCAATGTAGATTGAGTTATGAAAATTATGAAAAAAGTGTAGGATCTACTTCAAAAGACGTATTTACACTTGTATGCAAATTTGTCCGCCATTACTTAAAATCACACAAGTTCCCATAAAATTTGACATCACAATTTTAAAAAAAATTGACGTAGATAAAAATAATTGATTGTTTCTTGACGTCAGAAGGTTATTCGGAGATAGATCTAAAGGTTAACTTACTTGGAGACAAAATTCAGCTAAATACCAACCGTGTAAATACGTTTATAGGACTATTTACAACCAAAGTACATACAATAACAAAAAGATGCGTAGAGGTCAACATATACATGTAGGGTTTTCGTTTACATGATATGTCAATCTCTAATATAAAAATAAGAAGAAATGGTATGATTACCAATGAGACAACTCTCCACCAGAGACCATATGACTTAGGAGTTAACAACTGTAAGTCACCGTACGGCCTTTCACATTGAGAAAAACTCATACGGCTTAGCAAGCTATCAAGAGCCTCCCACTGCCTAATATGGTACTTCTCAATTCTACCCTCATTTGGTGTAATAGTCAGACCAAATATTAAATAAATATTTTTACATACGTTGAGATATATGTAACGAAAGTTCCAGATAGACGGACTGACGGACAAACAAGGTAATGAAGTGTATCCCCAATTATTAAAGGTATAATTTTAGCTTCAGAAACTTGGGAGTTCACAAATGCATCCACCTATATTTCCACATGACCAATAACGATATTTGTCAAATAGTACCCAAAATTCGTCTCACATGTATACTCCATAAAATCCTTTTAGAGAATTTAATTGATATGTAATAACGATGATTTGAAAACGCTTATTATACAGTCAAATGGATTTCAAAAGTTCAAATAGGTGCCCCAAAACGGAAAAAATACAGTTCATATGTGCTATTGGGATAATTTTGTATTCATCATCCGTACACTTTCAAATTTCAATGTTCTTTTCTGAAACCTTAAGAACAATAAATAGTTGACCGGATGTCATTGTAATAGTTTTTATAAACGCATGGTTAAATTGAATATTTGAAGGTAAAAAGTTCAAGAATAAATGTAGGGTAATGGAGAGGTCGAACACATATTCAAATAGATTCTTAGTATATTTTTCTTATAAATCGCTCTCTTCATTGCCGATTTGTTTAGATGAATACAAAAATTGCGAAAACTTTGAATACAAATTCAAATACTTAAAATTTCATCTTGGGGTTGGAACTTTTTGCTCTTATTTGTTATATTTAGTGTTCATTTGAGATGTCATCGAATTGGTAAACGGCTACCAATTCATATATTTTCTAAGAAAAACCAACAAAAAATATGCACTGTTCACTATTTTGCAGTTGTTCGACTGCAGCAGAAGAAAAATGCAGTAAGAGTCTATTTGGATATGTGTACGACCTGTCCATCATCCTGCAAAATTGCATGGTGATGATTTATCAAAGCATTGATTCAAAGTAATCCGATTTTTGCCGCAGGAGCCACGTGTAGCTTTAGCGCCAAATCAAGACGTTGAAATTCATTTGATTGAATGAAATGAAAAAAGGTCTAGAATTTAAAACGAAATCAGATCCTTTACAGCTTCTTCACTTTAAACTCGAAAATAAGAGCATTTAAAGCTTCTTTGGGAGATAAAAGAGATCTACGATACAGAAGCCGCATATCATTTCTTGCGTAATGGTTTGTGCAGAGCTATTGCTTGTAGTTTGTGTATTAGAAAATTAGAATGTGAACATGTCAACAGTTATGATTATCCTATTTACTTGTAATGAAAATATAGATCTTGGAGACTCCATTAACTAGAGATATTCTTATAATTTGCTTATTAACACAAAAGACTGATTGTATTTTATTTTGTTCAATTAGAAAATTAGAATGTGAACATGTCAACAGTTATGACGTCATAGTTTTCTTTTTTCAGCGAAAAGGGAGGGTTAGCATGCTCCAGTATACATGTTACTTTAACCCATTGCATGCAGCGACGCAGGTCCAAAGCCGACATTGGTCTAGTGTACACGGAAATAAGTACTAAGTGAATTGATAATTACTTGCATGTTTCCTAATAGTGAATTTCAACCTTTTATACCATGAAAGGAAAATTCCTTGTTTCTTTCTCTAATATCGCCCACCATTTCAATTTTTCATAATTAGTCATATTTTATAGATATGGAATCTTGTGATGTCCATGAAATGGTTTATAACTCTATAATGATGTCTGAAATTGACAACAGAAGAGATTTGTACAACAACATCGTCCTGTCCGTAGGGTCTACAATGTTTCCTGGTAAGTCATTTTGTTTTGTCAAGATTATTTGTTTTTATGCTTTGAATCGTTTCAATTGGTTTTACTTTTTAAATGTTTGGTCTTGAGGGTACCCGATAAGAGTGGTTGACACAGGGATTGGTCATTTCTCAGATCTAGCTTTTTTTTGTAATTTGTTCACACTACCCCTTTTTCCTTCTTTTTTCCATATCCCATCTTTTTTTTACCACTTATATCCCACATCCCCACTGTTTTACCATTGAAATCCTACATCCTAAAACCATGTCATTCCTCTTTCGTTCCGCAAAAAAAAATATTTCCAGTTACGTGTATGAGAGACTGCGGAGACTGTTTTTCAATGTAGATTGAGTTATGAAAATTATGAAAAAAGTGTAGGACCTACTTCAAAAGACGTATTTACACTTGTATGCAAATTTGTCCGCCATTACTTAAAATCACACAAGTTCCCATAAAATTTGACATCACAATTTTAAAAAAAATTGACGTAGATAAAAATAATTGATTGTTACTTGACGTCAGAAGGTTATTCGGAGATAGATCTAAAGGTTAACTTACTTGGAGACAAAATTCAGCTAAATACCAACCGTGTAAATACGTTTATAGGACTATTTACAACCAAAGTACATACAATAACAAAAAGATGCGTAGAGGTCAACATATACATGTAGGGTTTTCGTTTACATGATATGTCAATCTCTAATATAAAAATAAGAAGAAATGGTATGATTACCAATGAGACAACTCTCCACCAGAGACCATATGACTTAGGAGTTAACAACTGTAAGTCACCGTACGGCCTTTCACATTGAGAAAAACTCATACGGCTTAGCAAGCTATCAAGAGCCCTAAAATGACAAATATAAAACAGTTCAAACGAAAGAACTTACGGCTAAATTGAGTTGAAACAAGACGAGTGTTGTGAATACTATACAATTTAGAGAGACGACCATAAATCTGCAATTTAATCCGAAATTTCATAGTATGGACAAATATTAAACATTTTAAAAGATATTATTTAAGTATGAAGTTCTCGACTTAAAACGACACATTAACATGTGGAGGGGTTAAACTCTGTTTGCTTTGCATTACTCAAACTTCGACATTTTCAGTTTTCACAACTGTTATACAAAATCTGCATAAAAAAATAAATAAATACAAATCAGTTTAGAGAAAACACTTTACACGTGTATATACGATGTTCAGTATCTACATTTAATTTATATGATTTCAGGTTTTGTAGATCGTATGAGGAAGGAACTGGATGCCATAGTTCCAAGTACTGTGAAAATAAAAGTTATCGCACAACCAGAAAGAAAGTATTCCGTGTGGATTAGAGGTTCCATACTTGGTTCATTATCAACATTCCAACAAATGTGGATATCGAAGACGGAGTATGATGAATATGCACCAAAAATGCTTTTAAATCATATTGCATGTTTTATTGACAATCAATTCGACATTCAATCCTTGTCTTACATAATACTTGTAATATTTAATTGTAAATTATCTTATTTAAAGTGTGCACATTTATTTATCATATGTAATATATTTTTGAATTTATAGATATTGCCATTTACCATTTGCGTTTATAATAATGATAATTCTGTCATAGTATCATGGATAATAATATATTGTTCTATAATGTACTTGTTTTTTGTGACTTAAAACCTTAAATGTAAGAAAATAACATGATTCGCAAATGTTAAGTTTTGGAGATGAATTATATTACTTTGTTTACACTGGATTCATTTCTAAAGCAAAGCACATGCAACATATAAAGCAAAGCAACATATACGTATAAAACACACACAGGCATTAAAAGCATAAGAAAGCAATACAAACAAAAATAGTTTTCTCAATTGAATTGTTTCATATTTTTAATGTCGGTGCCTTTTATAGCCGACCATACGGTATGGGTTTTTCTTATTGTTGAATGCCGTACGGTTGTCTATAATTGCTTACATCCACTTCATTCGAACTTTGGTGGATGGTTGTCTCATTGGCAATCATACCTCTGAGTCATCTCCTTATTTTTATAAAGCACATGAAATATAAAAAGCAGATCCGTATTTTCACATAAAACTCATACAAGCCATAAAACATAAGATTTCAATGAAAACCAATTATCAAAAAATAAAGCACAAACAGAAGCACATGTATATGGATGTAAGCAGTTAAAGCTCTGATTAGCACAAGCAAAATAATACAGCTTATTAGTTATAGCTAAAGACAGCAAACTATTATATATATAGCAAGTTTTAGAATAATAAAAATATAATTAAATCTCAAGCAGGCTTGAAATTTTGGTTCTGGGGCAGCAAGAGATGGCATTATTCACATGAGCTACAGGTACAATTTCTGCAAAACACCAGTTAGAAATAAATTTTTGAACTCCAAAGATTGATAGACTCCTAGCCTCATTACACAATGAGTTCCATAGTCTTGCTGCCTCATAACTAAAGTTTTTTCTTACATACCTTATTGTTTTTGGTCTTTGTATATCAGCTATGCCTTTGAACTTAAGATTATATGCATTATCTTTAATGTCTATCAAATTATGTAAAAAATGATGTGTGTATTGAAATCGAGATTAAAATCTATTGTTACACCAAAAAATTCCACCTCATCATCACACTGATACTGTTTCCTCTAAAGTTGAACACTGTATTTTATAGATGTGTTTTTTCTAACCTATTGCAATTGCTTGGAATTTTTCTGGGTTTGCCATGAGAACCATGGTATTAGGGAGTTATTATCTTCCTCTAAAGGTTTAATAAATGATTAAAAAAAAGTGCAAGATTTAGAACGGGTGTTATCATCAGCATAGTTATATAAGCGAAGTGTATAACAAACAGGAATATGTCATTAATAAAGACATTAAATAATACAGGCCTGGGCCAGGTATTGATCCCTGTGGAACACCTTTATAAATATCAAGCATTTGACTAATACTTTGTCCAATTTTTACACACTGTTTCCTTTTTGTGAGATAATTTTTTAATAAATCTTGTGCAGATGTACTTGGGCCATATTTTTCAAGTTTAATAATAAGATCATGAGGTAGACAGTCAAACGCTTTGCACTTTCGGTGTCCATTTAAATAATTAAAAAGTTTCATTAAAATTCAATGAGGAGTGTGGATACATAACAGTATAGTTCGGAAAAAAAATCGTAGAAATCTCACGGTAGGTATATAGTGTCCAGCTGATATCGTGTTTTTTTTTCGAGTGAATCGGTCTACTTTTTTCGAGTGTAGATCAGGTTTTTTCGAGTGATATTACATGCGATCAGATCGATTTACTGCTATCACGCGAATATAATAGTTGTATTCGTGACTGTTCGTCTTATTCTGAATACTATACATATTTTGAGCACAAATGACGCACAATTTCCATGTAGTTCACTCATATTTCAGTGTTTCATATTGTCCGTGTTTTTTTCGAGAGCAACATCTAAAACGTCCGAGTTTTTCAACAAATTGTCCGGGTTTTTTGAAGAAAATGTAAATAAGAAAAAAGACAATCTTGGGCTCAAAAACTGAATTTTTATAATTTGTAACTGAAATTTAGCGAAGGACAATAGTATTTATTCTTAATAAGTCACAAAAACATATTGTTATGTTGATCAAATTTAACTCTTTTCAGTTTAATGATAACTTTCTGTTTTGAAAACATATTACCATAACCTTGAAGTTATACGATATATAAGAAATCACTGGGTCCTTTTTAAAACGGTCTTGTCTCAGGTTAGGATGAAGTTTGGCGCCTTTTAAAACGTTTAAACTTGAAGGCCGACTCATAATCTTCCAATTTCATTTTATTTTTACCGTCAATAATGTTTTATGATAAATATATATATTTCATAGTGACGAAAAAACATAAGAGCAAGAAATCTATAAGGAAAAGCAGTAAAAAATCAATATAAACTAAAATATTCTACAAAAAAGCCCCCCCCCCCCCTCCCCCCGCCCCCCCCCCCCCCAAAAAAAAAATAAAAAAACAATAACATATGAATTGAATGGAATGAAAACAACACTTTATAAATTTTATGCGTCTGAAGCGTTTTTCTGGATTTTTTCATCCAGAACGCTCAAAGCCGAATATTGGAAAGCCAAGGATTGTGAGAACCGAAACATGGCGTTGTCAGTTTGTAATCGATCTATGAGTTTGACTGTCCCGGTGTCTGGTATCTTTCGTTCCTCTTTTTGAAGAGCTATATGACCAAAAGGACCTAAAAAGTAGCCAAATCCATCTAAGGTCAACTTAGCCTGATGGAGCTGAAATATCTTAGTTTCTTTATAATTTTTAAATCTAAACGGACAATTTTAAATGATTGATTGTTGGTTGCTTAACGTCCAGTGGCAAATATTTCGTGCATGTCCAAGACGAGCATCAATTAACAATAAATCCAATATGTAGGTCATGTAACAGACGACGTTCGGGATGAAGGTCAGGAAATTCAGACTGCCACTAAAATAAATGGTATATTGGATATGGACAGAAATTTTGCCTTGCAACAGGCAAACCTACGGACCCCTCAAAGAGATGTTGCAAGGGTTCTCAGCGTGCAGTGAACGTGGCACGCCCATTCTGACCGGACGTGACTGTGTACATCCCGCACAGCTAAACGGACGCCCCACTTTGACAAGGGTTTCACTGCCGGTCGGAAGAGGACCTAAATGACCATATTTCTATTTCCCAGTCCCCCTTGAAGGTAAATAATTTTAGAAAGGTTTGTTATAAATCATGTCAAAACCGAAGTACTTACTACTGAACTGATGATAAACTCAGGGACTTATCCAATGTATTTAATAAACAACGAAATAAATAATCTGTAAGTTTTAATACGATCCTTTTGAAAATAATAAAAAAAACAACAAATGTGTTTATGATATGCGTACACCTCACTAATATAATTCTTTTAATTACTGATGGAAATGAAGTTATGATGGTGTTTTATTTCTATGTGACCAAATAAAGCATACGCTTTATCAGACTGCTTCACAGTAGAAGCATTTGAACATTGTTCTTGATTTCCATTTCTAGAACGATAAAACATATTCTCATCAAGACAAACAGTAAATGTAACATTTAGGATGTATTTTCTGTTTAAAAAAAACCACATTTACCCGCTTTACACACTATGTGTATGTATGTCTGAGCTCACATAAAGATCGTTTACATCACGAAATATTTACTGTATGAAATACAGTATCGGTACACAAACATGCAGATATCTGAATGCAAATGAATGATGCTGTTTTATGAAATGTACGTGTAAATACAGCATTATCAAACTGGTTTAATGCATTGTTTCGTGCTTGAAAAGTACTTTATTTGAACCTTTTCATTGTTTATTTAAACGTAAATGCACTGACATATATTACAAAATTGTGTTTTCTTCACTCGATAAAACAAGGACGCACTCGAGAAAACACAAACTGCTCTCGAAAAAACATGGACATATATCAACGAATTTACTCTCAAAAATGTCCTTTTCAAAGCAAAAACAAAGATTCTTGTAAAGTGTCTGTATAGACATATTCCATGTATGCATTTCCGTTGACATTTGCATTTGTATGTGTATAAAAATGTTTTTAATCTACATTTTAAAATATAGCATTGTAAGGCTAAATTTAACGCTTTTAAAACAAAATAATGTTGGGTTGATAATTTATTTTTATCACAAACACTAATTTACCTTATATGATATTAAATATAAGGTTCTAGCATCTTCTTTTTTTTTTACGTCTTTCCAGTAAAGAAGTCTGTTTGTTTACATTTTTTTATCAAATCCACTCGAAAAAAAGTGGTCACACTCGAAAAAAAACGATCAAATCACTCGAAAAAACACGATATTAGCCGGACACTATACTTACCGTGAATCTAATATTAAAGTTGTATAGGGAGGTAGATCATTGCACCTAGATCTCAAATATATAAAATTTATCTTCTTTTTTTTTATCAAAAAGTAGACATAAAACACTATAAGTCTGATACGATGAATCGAAGTGATGGTGATTGTATTTTCGGGAAATGAATAATCTGAGAATCAAAATTCTCCACAAGTTTTCTTTTTCAATTTATCAAGATACACATTTTTCATATAGACATGTATCAAAGTTACAATTATCAATGAATATCAGAGTAGTCCAACTCGACGGTATGGATATAATAGACCGTTTCATTTTGCCGATAAATACGAGAATCGAGTATTTTCGTGATCGATTGAGACCTTCCTGGAATTTCTGAGATAAAAGAAATACGTAAAAGCACTGTTATCAAGACCCTCATGGGTATTCAAGGTCGTTAAAAACCCCCATCATCATCTGTTGTCTTTGAGTTGTGACCTATTTCTTAATCAACAATCAAAGTGTGTGTGGCGCTATTTCGCTTTCGTAATTTCTAATCCATATACTAATTTGTTTACTTTTCTGTCTTATCGATCTATTAATAACGTAATGCCGTAGAAATTAAAATAACAAAATTACCGAACTCCAAGGAAAATTCAAAACGGAAATTCCCTTATCAAATGGCAAAATCAAAAGCTCAAACACATACCATTAACTTTATTACGAAACATTTGAATAAATTCAATCAATATCATTATTTCGAAATATTCTGA